TATTATTATTATTATTATTATTATTATTATTCGTAATATAAAATTATTATATATTATTATTATAGTACAAATATGAGATTGTATATTTGAGGATGACTTAAATGAATTAATTTGTACAAGTTATACTGACAACATACATAGACATTTCGGTAGCTTACTCATCAGAACTTCACAGTTAAGCGTGTTTGACCTGGAGTAGTACTGGGATGGGTGACCTTCTGGGAAGTCTCCCAGAAATTCCACAAGTAAGAATAAAACACGCTAAACAATGAAATATTGTGAAATAGAACCCTTGAGAAGCCAAATATGAGAGTTGTTACATTAATAAATTTATTAAAATTATAATAAAATCCGTCGGAAATTTTGATAGCAATTTCTGACGAATTTTTCTGTCGAAAATTTTGACAGCAATTTTTTACGGATTTTTCCGTCAGAAATTTCCGACAGAATTTTCTGTCGGAAAATTCTGTCAGAAAAATTATTTTCGACGGATTTTTTTTTTCGACGCCACTTTTTCCGACGAATTGAAATCCGTCGAAAATCTGTCTAAAAAAGCAAAATCCGTCGGAAATTTACCTATTTCTGTCAGAAATTTCTGTCGGAAATCAGCATTTTTCTTGTAGTGATAACCTTGATTGAAAAATTATTATTTAAATATTTTAATAACTTTATAATTTATTATTATATTGGTGTAAGTATTTTATCAAAATGTTAATTTTCTATAATATTAAATTTTGTTTTCACAGAGAAATCAATATGATAAAAATCATTCTTATACTATAAAGGTTTAAGTATGTTTTTTTTCCTTAGTTTTGATTTTGATCCCTATTTTTTTTATAAAAAATATGAAATAATTATTTTTAGTCATTAAAAAATGAATAAATTTTAGTTATGTTTTTACAATTTTTTTATTTTCAAATCTAAAATCTAAAATTACTATTTTGCTTCTAACATTTATTTTAAGTCAAAGCGAAGGAGACGGTTAATGATCTAATCGTGGATGAACATCTAGATGACGCTATGGAGGACCATAGTATCAAAGAACAAAATAAGAGCGATCATAAGAAGTCTTATGCTGAGAGTGTTCTGTCTACTGGGGAAGGGAAAATATTTTCTGATTACCACTGTTTATTGAAGGAGATGGAGGATTTTGATGACAAATTCTCTGTCGAGATGGACCAGACAGACATTGATGAAGAAGACCTGGACCCATGCCCTACTATCAATGTTTCACAAGACAAGTTTGAGGAATGGTGCTCAACCTGGAGGAATGCTCTAGTGATTAATGTTCTGGGAAAGCAAATCTCATTCAAAGCCCTTGAGAATAAAATCAATCGTGATTGGGTTAGGTCCGGATCAATCAGAATTATTGACATGCCCAACGACTATTACCTGGTGCAATTCTCAGCAGAAGAGGATTATCGTCATGCTCTCTATGAGGGCCCATGGATGATCGCGAATCACTACATTCTAGTTCAACGTTGGAGACCTTTTTTCACAATAACGGCCTCTCAAACAAGGAAAGTCGCTGCGCGGATCAGGATTCCGGGCTTGCCTATTAAACTCTATAACGATCATTTCTTGTGGCGTGTGGGTAGTAAACTGGGCACTATGCTCAAGATTGACAAACTAACATCTATTCATTCAAGGGGGAAGTTTGCCAGAATTTGCGTGGAAGTGAATCTAAGAAGGAAACTGGTGTCTAAGATTAATGTGCTGGGTCACATAATCAAATTAGAATATGAAGGGCTACACTCGATTTGCTTTGGTTGTTGCAAATATGGCCGCATACAAGACCAATGCAGAGAAGGTGTGGATAACCATTCTGTTAGCGCGGAGAAAGGAGCAAAGGAGGGCACAGGTGTGATGGATGTTGACACAGGGAATCTGAGTGAAACGATGGCTGTTGTTCCATCCAAGGTTTCAATGGAGCCTGATGTGGGTTCTTCATCAGGGGTAGATTCGTCCAAATCTTTGGATGTTTCGGAGGAGTTGTATGGGCCATGGATGTTGGTCAAGAAGAACAAGAAATCGAATCGCAATAATAATAGACAAAAGATCAAACAAGGCAATCTCGTAACACCAAAAGCGCAGTTTGTTAAGGAAACAAATATTGCTAATAACTTTGCCCACGAGGATATGCTAGGTCAGCAAGGGTTTGAACCAAATTTTGAAGGTTACATGTTGGTTCCGGAGGGACCCACTTCCATGCAACCCATGCATGCAAACCATATTTCAAAACCGAAATCAAGTCTGGTGCAAAGCCAAATACGAGTTCGAAACCCCTTGGCAGGGAAAAATTCCCAAATAAGGCGTGGAAACTCCTTTATAAGTGGTTCAACTTCCCCAAAAAAGAAGGGTACTCTAACTAAGAACGCGCCACCGAAGATAAAGAATCCCATACCGGATGTACCCAAAACAACAACAATTGCCACATCGTTCCTGAACCAGCAACATAACTCAAAAATGGTGTTAGACAATATTCGTTTTATGACCAATAGAAAAGGTTCTAATTGGCCTTTGGATGAAGTTATAACGAAGGTAGTGGAGCCAGATGCTGAAACGCAGGCTCTAGCAGCAGCCTTGCGTAGGCATTTTAATGCTATTAATCATATGGATGCTGAAGTGTTTGAGGAACACGTTGAAGAGCCAGGGTTGTCCAAGACCACTCCACAATAGTCTTTTCTTATGAATTTTTTTATCTTGGAATTGCAGGGGTGCTGGAAGTGTTGGATTTCCATCTCTAATGAACGATATGATCCAAGAGTATGACATAGGAGTTCTTTGTCTCTTAGAAACTCATATCAGCGGTGACCGAGCACTTGGAGTGGCTCGTCGGATTTCATTAGATAAATCCTTTATGATGCATGCTAATGGACAAGTTGGCGGGATATGGTGCATGTTGAACTCTCAACTTTGGCAACTTGAAGTGATGGAACATTCTTCTCAATATATCCATCTTAAGATCCTTAAAGGAGCGTTATCGTGGTTCTGCATCTTTGTCTATGCGAGCCCCCGAACCCAAGGCCGTGTGGCTCTTTGGGGCGATCTTCGTCGATTGGCTGGTCAAATCAATGGTCCTTGGCACTTAATGGGAGAGTTTAATGCTGTCTTGAGGCAACACGAGAGAGTTGGAGGGTCTGTAAATGCTTGTATTCGAGGAGATAATGCATTTAAAGATTTTGTCAACCGCTATCATCTGATGGATTTAGGTTATACTGGAGCTCCATTTACATGGCACAGGGGAAATGTTTTTGAACGTTTAGACAGATCACTTGCTTCCTATGAATGGCGCATCCTGTTCCCAAATGCAGCTCTTAATCATCTAAATCCTTTGAAGTCTGATCACGCACCTATTCTTCTTAGACTCTAGCCTACAATCCCCACAAGAAGTGGTAGGAGACCCTTTCGATTTGAAGCCCCTTGGTTGACTCATGCATCGTTTCTAGAGCTTCTCCAACAGAATTGGAACTCCTAGCATGATTGGAATAATCGAATTGATCACACTACAAAATCCTTGTTGGAATGGAATAAAAACACGTTTGGCAATATCTTTTTCAACAAACGGCGCTTACTTCGTCGTCTGAATGGGATCGTGTGTGACCTTCTAAGAGGTCCTAACACTTTTCTAGAACGGCTACAAGTAAAACTAGCTATGGTCCGAGCTAGACCAAATCCTAAGAAAGGAAGAGATACTCTGGTACCAGAAATCACGATGCAAATGGTTAAAACTTGGAGACAGAAATACGCACTACTTTCATGGAACAACGATCGTCCGCCGTAGGAAGAGTAAGATAGATAAGTTGATGGATGATAACAACAACTGGATTTCTCAACCGAATGCTCTAGAAAATATGGTTACTAATTTCTATAAAACCTTATTTTCGGACACTAGGGATTTAGTTGACTTCGTCCTCTCAAATGCTTTTCCCCATCTTGAGTATGAAGAGCTAGTAGAGATAGGAAGACCAATTTGTGATGTCGAAATATCCCATACAGTCAAACAGATGAAGGGTCTCAAAGCCCCTGGACCTGATGGCCTCCAAGCAATTTTTTTCCAATCCCAATGGGAAACGGTTGGCCCAGCTGTTTGCAAACTTATACATGATATCGAAGAAAACCCCTCCTTGGTTGCTGACATCAATTCAACGCTGATTGCGTTAATTCCAAAAACTGAAAATGTCACACACCTAAAGCATATGAGACCGATAGGTTTATGTAGTGTATCCTATAAGATCCTTACAAAAATTCTTTTGCAACGTCTTAGACCGGTTATGGAGAGGTTGGTGCACCCCAACCAGTGCAGCTTTATACCGCATCGAAATAGCAAGGAAAATGTCATTATATTTCAAGAAGTTATTCACTCCATGCACCTTAAATCTGGTAGGAAGGGATGGATGACTATAAAAATTGATCTTGAGAAGGCGTATGATAGATTAAAGTGGAGTTTTGTGAAGGATACTCTCATATACATGGAGTTACCACAAAAGTTTATTGACTTGGTTTGGGCCTGTATTTCTACATCCAAGCTCCGTCTTCTATGGAATGGGGAAGCTCTGGAGGAATTTAATCCTTCTCGTGGGATCCGGCAGGGCGACCCTTTATCCCTTACTTATTTGTACTGTGTATGGAACGTTTACTGCAACTTATCAATGTCAAGGTAGCTAACAACTTATGGAAGCCAATCCAACTCTCAAAGGATGGACCTGCTCTTTCACATCTAGCCTTTGCTGACGATTTAATATTCTTTGCGAAGGCTTCCTTGGAGCAGGTAGAGGTAATACACGATTGCTTGAATTCCTTTTGTGCGAGCTCAGGTCAAAAAGTCAGTTTTGATAAAACTCGTGTTTTCTTCTCCAAGAATGTGAGTTTCTCTACTAGGTCGAGCATTAGTGCAGCCTTGGGCTTCCAACAAACAGAAGACTTGGGGAAATACCTAGGAATCCTGGCCCATCACTCTCGAGTCAATAGGTCCTCCTACCAGGGCATTATAGATAAATTACACCATAGACTTAGTGGTTGGAAGGCTAAGAACCTTTCCTTCGCGGGCATGCTTACTTTGACTAAGTATGTGCTTGTAGCACTCCCTTCTTTCACAATGCAAACAGTCTAACTCCCCCATTTGTTATGTGACGAGATCGATAGAACTTGCTGTTATTTTTGTGTAGTTTGATTAAGTTTTGTAGTGTGTTTTTTCTTAGTCCCACATTGCTTAGTATTGTGAGATGGTGTTCCTCACTATGTTAGTCCCACATTGCTTAGTATTGTGAGATGGTGTGCCTCACTTTTGTTATATAAGGAAGCTTATGTAAGGTTTACAAATGCACCAAAACAAATACTTCTTAGTATTGTTTATTTCTCTCTTCTCTCCTTTATTGCCATTGTTCCTAACAATTGGTATCAAGAGCCCATTTCTTAGTATGCTCTGTGGTTGCAGCAGCGTCTGATCTTCCACATCAGAAAAGATTTGGTTAGAGTAAAATTTTTCTTAGTATGCTCTGTGGTTGCAGTTGTGTCTGATCTTCCACATCAGAAAAGATTTTTTTTTCTCTTGTTCTTGGGATCTCAGTTCAGAGAACTAGTGGGGGAGCTTTTCTTCAAAAGCAGTAGGAGTGATGGCAATGGACGAAGGCAAGATGAAGATTGAAAGGTTCGATGGTGCAGACTTCGGCTTTTGGAAGATGCAAATAGAGGACTATTTGTATCAGAAAGGCTTGCACGAACCTCTCACGGGCAAAAAACCAGAAGCTATGAAGGAAGATGAGTGGAGCTTTCTAGACAGAAAAGCTCTCGGAGCCATCCGTTTGACGTTATCCCGTAATGTTGCATTCAACATTGCAAAAGAAAAGACTACAGCTAGTCTTATGGCGGCCCTTTCCAGCATGTACGAAAAGCCGTCAGCCGCAAACAAAGTTCACTTGATAAGGCGGTTGTTCAACCTACGGATGACAGAAGGTGCATCAACAGCGCAACATATAAACGAACTCAACACAATTACAATTCAGTTGAGTTCAGTTGGAATCAATTTCGATGAAGAAGTACGAGCTTTAATACTTCTTTCTTCCCTACCAGAAAGTTGGAATGCTACTGTCACAGCTGTGAGTAGCTCCTCAGGAAGTAACAAGTTAAAGTTTGATGATGTTCGTGACTTGGTCCTCAGTGAAGAAGTCCGCCGAAGAGAGACGGGTGAATCCACAACCTCTTCAGTATTGCATACAGAGTCAAGAGGTAGAAGTTCAACCAGAGGAACCGGACGTGGCAAATCAAAGGAGAGATCCAAATCCAGAAATCATCAAAGCTCTAACAAATCAAAAACTATCGAATGTTGGAATTGTGGGAAGACTGGTCACTACAAAAATCAATGTAGGAGTGCCTCGAAGAAACAGGAGGTGAAAGATGAAGCAAACGTTGCTACGACCTCAGGAGGAGGTGATGCGCTGATATGTTCTTTGGAAAACAAGGAAGAGTCTTGGGTGATAGACTCTGGAGCATCTTTCCATGCAACCTCACAGAAAGAACTCTTCGAGAATTATGTCTCTGGAAATCTCGGTAAAGTTTACCTTGGAAATGAACAATCCTGCGAGATCGTGGGAAAAGGTGTAGTGAAGATCAAGTTGAATGGATCTGTTTGGGAATTGAAGAATGTTAGACACATTCCCGACCTAACGAAAAACTTAATCTCAGTAGGTCAGTTGGCCAGTGACGGCTACACAACAATCTTCCAAGGAGAACAATGGAAGATTTCAAAGGGCGCAATGACAATAGCTCGTGGCAAGAAGAGTGGTACTCTTTACAAGACAACAGAAGCATGTCATCTGATCACAGTTGCTGCAAATGACAATCCCAATCTATGGCACCAGAGACTTGGCCATATGAGTGAGAAAGGGATGAAGATCATGCACTCGAAGGGAAAATTACCAGGTCTTCAGTCAGTGGAAATTGAAATGTGTGAAGACTGTATATTTGGAAAGCAGAAGAGAGTTAGCTTTCAAAAGGGTGGAAGAACCCCAAAGAAGGAGAGGCTCGAGCTTGTTCACTCAGATGTGTGGGGTCCAACGACTGTTTCATCCATCAGTGGGAAGCAATACTTTGTGACGTTTATTGATGATCACTCCAGGAAGGTATGGGTATACTTCCTGAAACACAAGTCTGAAGTATTTGAAGCTTTCAAGATGTGGAAAGCTATGGTAGAAAATGAGACAGGGTTGAAGATCAAAAAGCTCAGAACTGACAATGGAGGTGAATATGAAGACACCAGATTCAAAAGGTTTTGCTATGAGCACGGGATCAGAATGGAGAGAACTGTGCCAGGAACGCCTCAACAAAATGGTGTAGCTGAGCGTATGAACCGAACGTTGACTGAAAGAGCCAGAAGCATGCGTATGCAATCAGGCCTACCGAAGCAATTCTGGGCTGAAACAGTAAATACAGCAGCTTACTTGATCAACCGAGGTCCATCGGTACCATTGGAGCATAAAATACCAGAAGAGGTATGGAGCGGAAAAGAAGTAAAACTCTCACATCTTAGAGTTTT